CCTCAAACACAGACTGGAACCTCTTCTTCAGATGGGATTTAAGTTTATGTTGACAAAATGGGGCTAAAAGCTCTAAAGGAAGAGAGACTGTCATTAGCACTGAAACTATTCACATATAAAAGATCATCTCTTTTACTGCTCTTCTGACTGATATAAACCCACCATTTATCCATCAGGTTAAATTTTTTTTATAGAAATACTCTTACTGCTCTGCAGACGTTCAGCGAGCTCCTCCTGCTTCATTTTCCTCAGGAAATTCAGGCTGATCTTTACCAAAGCTTCTCTGCTCCACCTCTGCTCTTCATCCTCACCTTCCAACCCCTTCTTATCCCCCCACTGGCCCTCTACGCCTTCTGGGTCATCTGTTCTCAGAACCATCTGGATCTTCTTCAGCTCATTCTTCACAAAACTAACAATGTTTTCCTCCAGCAGCTGAACAGAACATAATGAAGGACACATCAGACTGAGATCATGGAGCCAAACATTAGATCCATGTTGGACAGACTGACAGTCCTCTGGTCTACAAAGTGTAGCATGTAGATGACTGTGAAGAAAACTCATGGAGAAGTAGTTGTAGTACATGTACAGACCATAAAAATGGAGTCAAGCTGGGTTTGATGCTGCTGGGCAGATGGACCACTGGGAAGCTCAGAGCTCTGCTGGTCCAATCTGTGGAGGAATCAAAACATTAACTCACATTCAGTAGAACAACAAACAGAAAAAAAGGTCCTTGTGGTGTCCTGATCCAAAAGCTAGAAATGGGGAGACCTAAACTCTGCTCAAGAGAGGAAGCACTCTCTTGAGCAGAGTTTAGGTTGCCATAGTAACTGTATTAAAACTTTGCTGATTTCTGAAAGGGTTCAGTTGTTCTATTTCCTAGGAACTTTGTATCTGGACACCAAGAGGAACTTGAAGTAGATGGTTCACCATAGTTTCTATTTTGGACATTTGAATTGCATCTAAAAGATTACTTGGATATTAATTAATGTAAAATAAATTGTTAGATGTTAATTTGCTAGATTATTACCGATAAGTCCTTTTTTCAAACATCCCTAACTCTACTTAAGGATCACTAAATCTAATCCTAGTCTCTGATCAGAGGCTGCAGCTGCTCTGTTTCAATGACTGACAGGAAGCTGGAGACACAGTTAGGAAGCCAATGACTGATTAGTTCATATAAATATTCCAGAGCAGCAGCCTGTGTGAGAACAATGAGAGCAAGTTAAACAGACAGAACAAAGTCCAAAGGAAGCTTAGAGGTTTAAATCCTAAGATGAATCTGTTTGCTTCATGATAAACCTGGTCCAACATGGAGGATTCATGGACAGAAATAATGTTGTTGTTCAGGGTTAGAAGAAGAAGGAGGCTGGAACAAAACATTTATTTGCTTTAAATTTAAGTTTTAATTAATATATTTGAAAAAATAAATCTTTAATATTCAAACTATAGATGTAAGCAAAAGTTAATTAATTTAAAATTAGCTGGACAGTAGGAAGTAAACTTTAAATATGTCAACATATTATTTATGTTTATGTTGTTAACAACTTATTTTGTTTATGCTTTATTTATTTATAAAACAGTAAAAACATGCCTTATTTTTTTTTTTTTTTTATTTCTTTTCATTCACAGTGTCAAACTCAAACCTTCAAGTTTAAATATGATCAAAGGAAGGGGTTGGGTTTTAATTTCGTCACTAATCTTGGATTTTTTTCCCCCTCTTTAATTCTTCTTAAAAATTGTCTGATTGCACATATGAATTTAAACTGCGAAATAAAAATGTCAGAAGCACAAATTGAGCAACAAAACAATCAACTAGAGTCTGAACTGGGAACAATTTCTTCTGTCATTGATTATTCCTGTAAAATGTTTCATCTGAATTCTGGCTTCACCTGAAATCTATCTGACCCCTGCTGGACCAACAGGTGAACTACAGACACTTAGAAACACCTCCAACAATGTTTACCCTGAACTAATGTTTACCCTGATTTAATGAATTAGACTGAATTAATCTAAAAATGCATCCAGAAAAAAGAAACAGTTTCATTAATAGGACTAAAACTGTGGGATCAAAACATTTCAATCTGAGTCAGTTCAGTTTCATAAAGTTAAGACATTTAGTCAGAGCTCACCTCATTGCAGCTGAAGGTTGATCTGATTTAAAATCGATAAGGCGACCCTTTGAGCCATCACTCTTTAAGGAAACACAGCTGGGTTCTGGTTTGAGGTTCTGTTGGATCCTGAAGGAAAAACCCTAAATTCAATCTTAGTCTAATAAAGTATTTGAAGTTAATCAGTGAAGCCCAGAACTCTAAAGTGTCCCACAGTGACTCTAGTTTGAACTGGCTCCAAATATTCCTGTTTTCACCGTAAACCATATATCAGCGATGGATTGATAATTAACTGTGATGATAATTAATAAGGGACAATATTTGGGTTTGTTAGCAGGAACTGAGCAATAATCAGAGAGTCTGGATGTAGAACAGTGTTTGATCTTTTCTGATCTTCTATCCTGACAAACTTTTTTCCTTTGGATCAGGGTCAGAACTGATTTCGCCATGAAAGAGCCAGCAAGAGAAAGACCCATGGCTGAAGGAAATTCCTGTTTAGCCTGCTCTCAAAACAATAAGAGTTATTCCAAATTCAGCCTACCCCCTTTATCTAATCTCCCCTGGATGTTATGGTGAAAGGGCACAGAAGACTGCTCCCCCCCTCCCCTACCCGCGAAACATTTGTGGATGCGCTCAGTGACTGTTGATACATTTCCATCTTATCAAGGACATTGCCTGTGGTCAGCGTTCATGTACATATTAAATGCATTCATCATACACACACAACAAATGTCTCAATATGTCAGATTGACACCATGTGACTCCGCCTCCAATGTAACCCTCTGCTGAAATGTCTGTCTTGTGTTTATGTGTGCTTTCTTGTGCAAGGTTTTTTGATATCTCAAACTGTATCCTGTTAAGGATAAAGTGTGAAATATTATTTTTTTTGCCCTCTTTTCCCCAATGTGGCTCCCATCTTTCCACAGTGACAAAGGCAGCGCTAGGTAACCGCCTGGACCTGGGCAGCCAGATAACCGGTGGGAACCTGGCAGCATGGCCCCAGTTAATCCGCCATGCTCTTCATTACTAAAGTAGTAGCAATCCACTGTTTGTAGAAGTTAGAATATCAACTTAAGCTTTTTACTTAAGTACAAAGTACAATTTAAACCTATTTATAGTACAAAATTAAAGTAATGAAGGAGAAAATGTTACGGATAGATGCTTTAAACATAATACTGGTTACTGTGGCACCTTTTAAAAAAATATTTTCCCACAATTCTTGATGACAATTTCCTTATACTTGTTTCTAAGTTTTAAAACTACAGTAGAAGCCATTCAAAATGTCCCTTCCCAGTCAAAAGCCAGCTGAATGGTGGCAAAATTCCCTCTAACTTCAAGACACTGGCCTTCTCATGGGCATGCATAATTTTTTTAGCCCGACTCCACCCTTTCACTAATTTACGGTCTGACCAGGAGATAAAACTGCTCTTTAGATCTTAATGTCCAAAAATCATGACAGAAAGAATATTTTACTACAAAGATAGATGTTTAAAAAGGAATTCTAGGGGCCAAGCCAAGAACCAGCCAAGGGCCCATCAAGGAAAGTGGGGAAATTTAGGATGGCTACAATTGTAATGGTAACAGTGTCAAACTTAAATTTGCATAATATTGAAAAAATTAAACAAGTTTTTGCACTACTGAGCCCAACCACAAAGAAATTAATTGTCTGGATAAAACAAATTATTTTTGTTTTGTTTTATTAACATATAAGCATAGTTATTACATATAAATACCAACAGGCCATAATGAACATGGGCTAAAATGAAGAAAAACTAAGGAATCTATCTTTAAAATGCAACTAGTAGAAAGTACAGATAATGAAAAAAGAATTTCAGCAAAGCAATTAAAAATGTTGTGATAATTCCGAAGCTACAGCTAGCTAATGCTATTTTGACGTTAGTGTTTGATATTGTGGCTCAATGTTTAATGGAGACAAAGTTGGCGAAAGAGAGACTGGTTTTGAACCAATGGTTCTACTGTTCAACCGTTATCGAGGGGGCCATGTACTTCTGTTGTGCTTATTTTTAAGTGTTTGGATTTGGATTGACTGTCATTGCATCACCTTCATGAGAATCTTATTCACATTCTACCCCTTTAAGCTAAGTATATGGGTTTTTGAGTACTAACAGCATGCTGCATATACTTTTTAATTTGTGCTTAACTCTGAGTGAAGCAGTCATTACAGTTTTTAGGTCTCACCACACTTAAGCTTCAGTAAACAGGCTTGCAATGGTTGAATATCTTATTGTTAAGTGTATCAAATGGAGCATGTGTGGGTCCACAGGTAATATATCGAGTTTTGAGTTTGTGTACAAGACTCTGAGAAGAATTGTAAATATTTTTAATCTGACTTAGATAAAACAAAACAGTTTTTTAATATAGTGTTTTTATGCTTATCCAGTGCACTAAATGCAATCATAGCAGGAGGATAAAACTTAAAGGAATAGTACACCCAAAACATGATTAGCCTTCATTTTCTACTCACCCCCATGCTGAACAAAACTCTGGAGTACTTTTTTGATATCTCAAATGCATCTGGAGATCTGGGAGGCTTCTTGCTGTCTGCTGACATTCAAATAATGGAGGTCTATGGCGCCCGAGACAGAAAGGTCCATAAAAGTCCATAAAAACGTGTCAATATTCCTCCATACTGCTCGTCCAATGTATTCCAAGTGTCCTGAGTGGGTAGCACCCAGAATTTACTCGAAACGAAGTCATTTAGAATGTTTTAGAGCCTAAACAGTAGTGTATAGGATTTCCTAATAGCGCCCCCATGCGCGCTCACGATTCTACGGAAGCCGGCAGACCAAACCAGCGCATTCAGCTCGGCAAAGAACTCATGCTCTTCCTCAACACTGAAGTCCTCAGACATTTTTCTTTCGTTGTTTCTTTCTTTGCACAGGTAAACAGCACATTTCTTCTTCTACGCTTGCATTATCGGCAGAGCAGACGCTGAATGCGCACTTTCTTCCGGTTTGGTCTGCCGGCTTCCGTAGAATCGTGAGCGCGCATGGGGCACTATTAGGAAATCCTATACACTACTGTTTAGGCTCTAAAACGTTCTAAATGACTTCGTTTCGAGTAAATTCTGGATGCTACCCACTCAGGACACTTGGATTACATTGGACGAGCAGTATGGAGGAATATTGACACGTTTTTGTGGACTTTTGTGGACCTTTCTGTCTCGGGCACCATAGACCTCCATTATTTGAATGTCAGCAGACAGCAAGAAGCCTCCCAGATCTCCAGATGCATTTGAGATATCAAAAAAGTACTCCAGAGTTTTGTTCAGCATGGGGGTGAGTAGAAAATGAAGGCTAATCATGTTTTGGGTGTACTATTCCTTTAAAGTACTGTATTTAAAGTTAAGACGAAGAAAGCGTGTGAAACTCAAAAGAAAGTGAAATTTATTTTTGATGGTTTTCTTTTATTTATGTTTTGATTAATTCTGTGGAATTTCAATTTTATGCCATTCCTTTCATTTTGCAACAAGATGTCAACTGCACTGGAAAAAATCTAAATCTAGATAAGTCACTTTTTCTTAAAATAAATTCATTTGTTCTTGGATTAAGGAGGTAAAAGATACATTTTGCCAATGGAACAAGAAAATTTACACTTGATATAAGAAAACACAATTGCATTGTCTTATTTCAAGTGCATATTATCTAATTATCTTATTTTAAGAGTAAAAATACTCATTACATTGGCATATTATTTCATTTACCTACTCAAATTAAGGGTAAATACGCTTTTTTACTTGTTTCTATATCGTTTTTCCAGTGTGATGTCTAATGTGGTTGAAAGTGAAAGGTGAAAAGCAATGAAATTCAGATTTTTGAAAAGACGTTGCAATGTCTTTAGTCTATTATTGGACTAAAGTGGGACAAAATCAGACCGACCAAACAGAGCACAATTTTAAAAAACTATTTCTCGAATAAATCAAAACTATGACGGACCAACAAGATTTAACCTCAATACAAACGTCTAAATGATGTCTAGTGTTTTTGGGGGAACAGTTCACCTGTTTGCTGATGAAGGTTGATCTGATTTATAATAATGAGGGACACCCTTTTACCTGTTGCTCTTTAAAGACACACAGCTGGGTTTTGGTTCTGGTCCAGGTTCTGGTTCTAGTTGTTTCCTGTGAATAAAAATTGTTAGGTTATGTTAATGCTGTGCTCTGATATGGACAAGAGGCCTGTTGGAGTAGGTTATCTGACCTCTGAGCTTTGCTTGGGTCCTCATGTTCTCCACACAGAGCGGTTTTAGAGAGAAGGACTCTGTCCTCTCTGTCCTCAAACTGATCCATGCTGCACACTTCACACTAGCTCACACACATGGAGCTGCAGCCAAGAATATACAGCATGAACAACAAACCCCTATTCTTATATTTCATAAAACATGTTTTATCTATAAACAGAAAGTAAAGGTTGTTGTTGATGCAATAAAGCCATTCCAGTTTGACCGGAAACTCTGACTGAAGGAGCCGCAGAATCCCAGAATGTAGCTCTAGGTCTTACTTTTCCTGTTGAAGCTGCTCAATAATAACAATTAAAATGTTAACATGAAGCAGAATAAAGACTGGAACTTCTGTGTTTCACTTGCTATCAAATTATAAAAGATGACAATATGCTCAGTTAAACTGTTAAGCTTTAAACTCATTCTATTTTTGGATAAACAAAAGGCAGTAGCAGGAAGCTGGTGTGTCTTTAACAACAAAGACGAAAGTTTCCTTCCTATAACCATTAAGAATACATTTAATTATATAAAGATATACTGTATAGGTAAACACATCTTCATCATTTTTACTGATTACATATGTTTTAATAATCTTATAAATATTAATTTAAACATAAAACTCATCAAACTTTTGAGCCCAAAAGGAAGTTTTCCAAAGATATCAAGTAAGGAAATTGTATAAATCAAAGTTGAACTCTGATGCAAAATAAACTTACGGTTTGTTCAAACTTCTCAAATTGATGAATTTGATGTTTGGATTTATGCTGTGATCCAGGTGAGCTGCTGCCTGGAGTAAGCCAGTTTCACATGTAATGTAGGCAGAGCCTTAAGAGACAGGTAGGAGGGGTAACAGCAGTTCCTCAGAAATTCTTTTTATATTATATAACTTTTGTTATGGGTTCATTTTCATTAGCAGAGAAAAAGTTTGATATTTCTATTTTGCTTAATGTTTGTGTTGCTGAGAAACTATAAAGCAATCAGAAAAAACTGAAAAAACTAATCCTACAGGCTGGTTGTTGTGAGTCGAGTCTGACTTTGTCATCAAATGTTGCTTTAATCAGCACTTTAAACAGCAGCAAACCATTTTAAAAGAGAGCAAACAGAATAGGTTCAGATGTGACGAGCACAAAGCAGCAGAATCATCCATACACCTTCAGCTCTGATAACCTTGTAGGTTGACCTCTGTCAGACGGAGACACAGAGCTACATGACAAAGATATGGAAGTTAGTTCAGTTTGTAACAAAAACTTTCTGATCAGGAAAATGCTCAACAGACGTGTTGATCTCCTTTAAAATTTGACTTCTAAGAAATTCTTCTAGATCAGTCATGTTTTAAAGCTTCACTCTACTGGGGAAAATATCCAACAAATCTGAAACCATGTGTTTCAGTCTGAAGCTATAAAGTAAACAATAACCAAAACATATCAGCATATTTGTTCACCAGTAACAAAGGACAGCTAAAATCAAAGTAATTCTGTGAGCCTCCAACACAAGCCAGGTACAGATATTGTTCCCTCCTTACATTGAACTTCAAGGATAGATTGGAGCTCATTTATAAACTGCAGACTGAAACACAAACCATTGCTCTGTGCAAATCCAAAGCAATGTTTTTTTCTACAAAACACATGACCTCCGACCTCTAGGCAGAGCTATGAAATGTTAAAACTAAATTCCTAATATATGTTGACCCAGTTGAACACAGTTCCTCTGATGCCCAATCCTACCAATTTATTCATCAGTAAATCCTAATTTATTGTTTTACACAGTAATACACTGTGTATTAGTGTTGGCGGAGTGTTGGACTATTGGTTAGAGCACTGCGCTTGTGCTCTTAGAAGATTGTAAGTATCAGGTTTGATCACCATAGCCTGCACTCTGGGTCCCTAAGCAAAACCCTGAACCCTTAAACCCCCACTATTAGGTAAAATCTCCTAGAGGCTCTAGTGAAATTAATGCTGTTGATGTTCTGGATCTGAACCAGTTCTGACTTTCACCGTTCACTTTATTCCTTTATAACAATGATTCCAGTCAATTAACAGCTTCTCTAATAATGTTCTAATCTATTTTAATTTTAATTTTTAATAATGAAATTATTCTCTATAATAATTGCAAATAAACCACAACTGAAAGGCAATTAAGCTCTATATGTTAATAGTTCAGAAATTCCCTCCATTACCTGCTTCACCTAGTTTCATATCAGCTCGATGGAAGTCAGAACTTTTGGTTCAACAGCATCAAATAAACAATTTTCTTCCGCATATCATAGGAATGGGATTTAGATTTTTTCTTCCATTATGGTTCTGGGCTGTGCTTTGTGCTTCTTGGATCAGACAAATTTGTTCAAGATTTACAAAATCCTACTGGAAGCATATTATTTTAGTTCTTTGTTCATTTCCTAGTTAGTACCACCTTTTTTTTTTTTATAAAACTGTGCAGATATTTTCTGAATTGCTGGGATTTTATTTATTTAAATTTGATTTATGCTTTGAAATATTCAATTTAAACATCATAAAATCTTTTCTTTTAATTTCTTATATTTACTGCCTATTTATTCTTAATTTTTTTTCTCTATAAAGCAAAGGGGCCCAACCATGTGATTTTTTTTATTTTATCTCATTGCTCTTTACTGAACTTTATTCCTGGCTTTGCTCACCTAATCAACACTTCCAGATGGTTTTAAATGTAGCTGTAGAGGCTAAAATCCTATATTTTAGGCTACTGGTTGCTATTACTGAAGGCGTTGGTTTTACGTGTGCTGAATGAAGTCTTTCATCCCGATCTTTACTTTGACTTATAAGGAAGTTCTTCATTCACATAACAATGTCCATAGTTTTACTAGTTGCAGGTTCAGACAGTAGACAAATACAGTATGGAATCCTTCATCGTCCAACATTTGTTGAAGAAGCACTGAGTGCAAAACCTTTCTGATCATTCAAATAAGGCGCTCCCAAACCCTGCCACAATGTGATCCAAATGGTGGGTTAAAAATCCATTTAATCCCATTGTGTGCCATGACCTTCTCAATTCTTTTATTATATAGAGAGACTAGAGCTTCTCGCAGCTCTCTTACAGCTTCTACCACAACTGGTTCTTCTGCACCTTGTGTGCTCACCCCTTCTGCAGCATGACCATTTGCCGCCAGGAGGTCAGCTTTATCCACAGCAGCTGGGGGCTCTGTGGGCGCTACCGTTTCCTTAACCGTTTCCTTTTGTTCAATGACACTGTCCTCTTGGTTTTCAGTTTCTGGTACGTCTACAACTTTGCTCTTGTCTGTAAAGGACTTCTCTTTAAAGTTATAATTGTATTGGCTTGTCAGAAACTCTTCAATCTTATTAACTGTAGTTCTGTTGACATGAGCTGATGGGTAGCCATTTTCTTGTATCCTTCTGCTGAGCATTTATAACCCATCCTAGAAGGCTTCTGATTAAATTGGGCCCTTCACACCTACTATTAACCACTTTAATGGCCACATTATTTTAGATGCATTGTGCCCACTAATAGGTCTACACCAGCATGTATGCGAGGAAAATGAATGTCCTTTTAGCATGACCATTTTGACAGCTCTTCCTCACTGATGATATTGTCGGTGGAGACTGGCATTTCCCTTTAAGTAAAGACAATGGGAAGCTGATGGAAATGGCTTCCATTTAATTCTAAGATCTCCAGCGCATTAATGATAGAGGTTGTCATAGTTTTACTATGACCCATTGTTCTGAGATTAATCTGAGTCTTTTGACCTTGAATGTTGAGTTCATTAAGAAGTCTTTCAGAGGAGAATGTAGCAGTGCTCCCTGGATCCAGAAAGGCCTACATTTTCACTTTCACAGGCAGGATAGGAAGAATCCTTTTTTGGTGGCCAGCCCCAGTATTACCACAAGTAGAGGAGGTTTTACAACCCTTTGCTGCCTGATCCAACTCTTTCTGATGGGGTTTTTCCTTCTATCCAATGTGCAAGATGCGGGGATGTCTTTGGTTACATTGTTTGCAAGTGATGCGCTTTTTGAAAGACGACTTGTTGTGGAAACATTGGTGACAAAGCTGTCTCTTTAAAACTGTGAGTTCACTGTCAATAAAATATGCCCCCTTGTGGCGATAAACACAGGAAAGGACAAATGGCTCCTACAGTAGCACTTAGGAGAAATAAACAAAACAAAAGACTTTCTATTGGTCTAAATCAAAGTGGAGGTGGCTGGGATGTCTTTGGTTACAGTGTTGGCAAGTAATGCGCTTTTTGAGAGACAAATTTTTGTAGTCATGGTTAACAAAAACATTGGTGACAAAGCTGTTTCTTTAAAACTTTGAGTTCACTCTCAATGAAATATGCCCCCTGGTGTCGATAAACACAGGAAAGGACAAATGGCTCCTATAGTAGCACTGAGAAGAAATAAACAAAACAAAATAAAATAATTTCTATTGGTCTAAATCAAAGTGGAGGTGATCCAGTTTTGCTGCTTGGCATGGGATAGTTATAAGCAACAGTTTGATGTAACACACAAGAGAGAAGCATGCAAATAGATGAAAGTGGTGCTGTCAGATTCTATAGTTCTGTTCATCAAGATGTTACATCTAATACTGGGGCACACAAGACTTAATAGCACAATACATTTATTAGGAAAAAAAATCCAAGAATATGAGCATTGTGGAGATTATGAGACAGTAAATCTTCTGATTTTAACTTGCATGAAATATAGCTAACAAAGGAGAATTCTGGCCGTCTTTTTTTATATTAGGAGCATAGTACAAGGAGGTATAAGGCAGTCCTGAATTTAATATCTTTTAATTTTGTTTTGTGTATTGTTGTCTGCTAAGGGGCGATCTCTGCCCACACTATCCTGGAAGGTGACATAATGCACCTCTAAGTTGTTTGCCAACCACCATTATACTCCAAAAGAAGATCCCACATGAGACATGGGTTTACTGAGTCGCCCCAACTAGCCCCTAAACACTACCACAAACCCTCCTTTTTGTTGTTGTTGTTGTTCTTTGCAGAAGCTCCTCCATTTCAAGGGTCATCCCAAACCACATAGTCAGTAAGGGGAGTGACCCTTTCAGCCCTTAAATGACTTTGGC